TCCACCCACACGCCTCGCCCTCGCGACGGCTTAGTCTCGCCGCTGCCGCCAGTCACAACACGCTTCGAATCAAAAGGCCACCTACCAAAAGCACTACAGTGTAAATTCAATGTAAATAGACTCACTTCAACAACAACGAGGTACATCTGCTACAATTGTGCGAACCAGAAGGATGAGTAACAGTTCGACCACAATCGGTCGCCCACTCTCTCAGGGCTCGGTTGCACGACGGCAAGTCCGTCACTTACAGACCCATACTTGTGCTCTCCGACAGGTGTATATTAGCATAGCGGAGGCAGCTCACTTCTTATTTTGGTTTCCCGACCAAACAAGTGTTCTTTTCGTATGTTCTTCCATCGCAACTAAAATGATGTACAGTACCTGGTATACTATTAGTACACTGTAATATGGTCCATATGGTATGGACCATAGTGCTCGTGGACCACGATTCCCTGTGGACCATAGTGCGTCGATATACATGCGGCAGGGCGGAAGTGATATGCTATCACTTGGATATCCATCAGCGAAATGATCTAAGTGCTCAAGAGGAAACGCACACATTTTTACAGCGTTGTGCAGTGCTACTTGGTAGCTGCCAATCGCATGTCCGACTTGAATCAGATGGTTCAATTATGGTGGGTTAGGGTTATCTTGAACGGAACGCCCGTTCAACTTGCAGCCAACCATGCAAGAATACGCACTCTGCTCCAAATACTGACGCTGCAATCGTCCACCACACATCACGCGCCGCTCAGCTGCTCTGTCGCGTGTGTGGGCGGCGCAAGCTGGCGGCGCACATTTTGTCATTTCGTGTTGCCGCTGTATCAGCGACCAATATTGGGCTTGTTTCAAATATATCAAGCGCTTTCTTTTAAATTCCGTTTGCAAAGATAGCGTCGACGTTCGTCGGTAGCGCGTGAGCGTCTTGGAGGATGTGGTAAAAGCCATCTGCGTCGCCTTCGCTCGCCTTGCGCTCGAGACGCAATTGAGCTTTGCGAAGAAATTGAAAAAATTTGACTTCGGGCGCCGAAAAGTCCGGGTGCCACACGTCCAGGACGAGCACGAGCCGGCTTTGGCTACCGTGGTCGTTCCATGCCTCGTGCTCAAACGAGTCGTCAAACACAAAGCACTCGCCTTCCTTGACGACAATGACGTCGTCGCCGACGCGGAGGCGACACGCGTCGCCACTTGGCACAACGAGCGGCAAGTGCACGCGCAGCTTCTTGTTGGTGGGGCCGTGGTGCTTGGTGATGTGCGTCTTGGGTGCCAGTGCGGAGAAGAAGGCGTGCTCGTACTGGTGCGGAATGCTCTGGAGAAGCGCAGTCGTGATCGGGCACCGCGCCCGCTGCGAGGCGTAGTCGACGTCGTGGAGGAACAAATAGTAGACATTCCAGTCACCGGCGTCGTGGCTAACGCTTCCGATTCCGTCTGCAGCCTAATGGACGTTTGAGCTGCAAGTTACGACGAGGCAGCACTCACCGGTCGAACGCCCGCCCATGTCGGCGCGCGGTACGGCTGAAAGCCCGTCGGGTCGTTCTTCAAGTCGAGAAGCTCTTTTCGAATGAGCGGAAACGCAGCTTCGAGGGTTTTGATCCAAGGAAAGAGATCGTGGTTCTGCCACACGGGCGTCGCCCGCAAGCCAGGAAGCACGTTTGGGCAGCCGCGCTGCCACGGTGACATGTTGCTCGGGCGGCGCTGGTGGTTGAGCTGCATAAGTGCCCACTTCCGCAAGCGACTGAGCTTCCCCGTGCTGTCGGTCGCGGCCTTGGTGAGCCAGAGGTAGGCAATGTTTTCGCCGAGCGGTGTGAGGCCCCAGGCCCGCGTGAGCTCGTGGAGGCGCGCCTCCAGGTCAGCCTTGTCGGTGATGGCCTCATACACCATGGCACCCGTATCACACGTCGTCTCGGCAGAGCTCATGCTGTCGGCTTTGACGCTGCTCGGTCCTTGCATGCCACCAAATCTTTCGAAGCGACGTGGCATTCTGGATCCATTTTCCAATTTTGTTCGATTGGTTCGAATTTCGAAGCACTTTCCAGATACAAAGTTGAAGTGAAAACATACATTCTCTGTGTAGCGGGCATGGGCCAAAGTCGCTCGCTAAAGTGCTTGCCGCCGACCAAACGCAAATCTTGAACAGAATCGAGCAGTAATCGTCGTATGTACACTAATATTATATATATTTATGGACAATCGTATGCGTGAACTACAGATCTACAGTCCAATTTGCTGCGTCGGCAGTCTTTTCTACGTGTGCGCAACCGGCGACGCCTTGGCCACGACAAAGTCTTGGATCGATCGCAGCTGCACAAGAGCATCCTCCAGCTCTGCGACGTTATTGGCGTCCATTGGAAGAGTACGAAAGCCAAAGACGGACACTTGCTTGAGCTTGAAAATCGCGCCAAGCGCAGCGGACGTGAGCGGAACGACGCAGATCGGGACGTTAAGCTGAACCGCCATGACAGCCACATGGCTGCACATGCCAAGCACCGGCGCATCCGAGGACATGACGACAACACGCGCGAGGCGGTGCTCGAGGAGCCGCGAGACTTCGTTGACACCAATCGCAATTGGCCGCAGCGGCTTGAGAAGCGACTTGGTCGGCTCGTTCAGGACGAGCGCACCGGCTTCTTTGGCCACACGGTCCACAAGGATTTCCGCTTCCTCCTTCTCCATGGGTGTAAACGGTAGGAAGAGGTCGCGCGGCCGAGCCTGGACCTTCTCCTGCTGCGCGCGGGCTCGCAGCGTCGCCATGTTGAATAATCTCTGCGCCAATCACTTTGCACTTCCGGATACACGCCCAAAATTATCCGTACTGCGATCTTTCCGGTCTCCCGCCACGACTTCGCGTCATCAGTGGAGTGGAAGCTTGGCCGCCAAGCCGCACCTCCATAGATCCTCGAGATGCACATGTCGCTGCCGGGCTGGTGCCACCGGCAGTGGCTTTGAATGTTCTTTATGTGCGCTCGTAACGCGGAGGTTCGATTGCGCGATGCCAGCCCATGATGTCATTGTCTTGCGACTATGTGACTCGACTCGTATACCAGTAACCCAGCAGTTGAGTGGCCAAGGTGGGCTAGGAATCTCCTTCGTAATCGAACTCGAGTGCACGGAACCTTCGGCCAATACCAACAAACGAGCAAGTGGTTGTCTCAACGCCAGCGGTCTATATTTTGATGCGTTCTAAATTAGCGCCACTTGACGGCTGACACAAAACAACCGACAGTCATGGTCCTCGTGCTCCAAGCGATCCTCGTTGGCGTCTTTATCGGTGTCGTTGTCGCGGGCAGCCTCGCGTACATCCTATACCGCCACTGCCGCCGCCAAGCACCTGTGGGCGACACTTACTTTGCCTATCCGTCAAGAGCGCAACCCGTGCTGGCGACCATCTACCGTGGCGGTTGCAGCATCTTTTACATCGTCATCTTACTTCTCGAGCTCGTCGAAAATGGGTTCTCGATCTACAAGTACTATACGATCTGGAACTTTACACTGCAGCTCGTTTACTTTGTGTGGGCGACGACGTTCTCGCTTCGGCTCGCGATGCTGCCGGCCAAGGCGCCGATCCTTGTGACGTCCGAGCTCCGAACGCTCAACACCCTCTTTGGCTGGGTCCTCCCCGTGAGCTTTGTTGTTCTTATTGTCTTTTGGGCATTGCTCTACGGGCCTGGCTATGCCCTCTCGCCCTACTCGGTCTCCGAGCACGCCGTCAACAACGTGCTCTTGCTGCTAGAGTTTGCCGCCAACGACTTTTACGTCGGCAAAGCCAGCATCGTGTATGCGTGTCTGCTCTGGCCGGCGCTCTACGCGGCTTGGGCCTGCCTCTCGTACGCCACGTGGCTCGGGTCGTGGCCGTACAAGTTTCTGGACCTCGACAAGACCAGCGCGATAGGCTGGTACATTGGCGTGCTCGTTGGTCACTTCATCCTCTTTGGTGTCGCGTACCTTCTCAGCGTGCTCAAGCGTAAGCTCAAGCCGTCGCTTATGACGACGCCCCCCAACCTTGCCGAGCCACTGCCCGTCAGCACCGCGGACCTCGACTCGATTCAAATCGCTTCATAAAAACAACACGTCATTGGACTCTGCTTTTGTACGACAAGGATATAACGAACTCATCCTTGCAAAACTGATGTCCACACCACCTTGCTGAACAGCGCAAGAGGTTTGCTCAATGGCAACGGTGCAGGTCGTGCGCCCGTCCTACTGGCGCTATCTCTTGCGTGTGGCACTGTGCCAAAAAGCCAGCGTGTCGAAATGGTGGGAGCGCCGTATTTCATTAGATTTGAGGGCTCAGAACCGCATCGTAACCGGTTCCACTTGCGAACCGTATAAATCCGGTTACCGTGGTCAGACCGCCGGATACGCTAGTTTGCACAATGGCTCTGAAGCACGACGACGAGGCCGCGGTCGACGCGCCGGCCATCGATGTCGCTCGCGACCGGTTCCCGTTCTGCATCGTGTGGTCGCCGCTGCCGGTCATCACGTGGTTCCTCCCGTTCATTGGGCACATGGGCATCGGTGACTCACACGGCGTCATTTACGACTTTGCCGGCCCGTACCACATTGGCGAAGACGATTTTGCCTTTGGGCGGCCGACGCGGTACCTTCGCCTCTCGCTGCCCGAGAGCCTCTCGGCCGACGACTGGGACGACGGCGTCCGCGCCGGCTGCGCAGTCTACTGCAAGCGCATGCACAACATTTGCTGCGACAACTGCCACTCGCACGTCGCGCGCTGCTTGGAGTCTATGGGCTTTCCACGCCCCTCTGGCGGCTGGAACATGATCTACCTCTGCTTCTACGTGCTGTTTTGCGGCTCGTTTGTCAACGCCAAGGGCGCGCTGCTTACATGGGGACCATTCCTCGCCCTTGTCGCGCTTGCGATCCTATGGCATATCGTCGCCTAAGCGCTTGACACTTCTACATGGTGTTGTCTGTTGACTCTGTGTTCACTGCAATATATGTTCGAGGGGTGGAAGAGACAGGGACCAAAACCAGAATTATAAATTCGAAATATTGTTAGCTCGAGGTAAGTTGCGAAGCTTGCCGTAGAGTACCTTCCGTTAAATCATTAGTGTATGGGGCTCACAGTGGCGAGTTCAAGTCAAGTAGCTCGGTCTCGACGTCCTCGAGGCTTCGTGGGAACCTGCGGCTGACATGGCCACGGACGTACCCAAGATCATGGCGGTTTTCCTTCGCTCTGCCGCCTGTCAATGTCGCCAAGATGCATTCTGCTCTTCGCGCGGCTCACCCCGGGGTCGTGTTATACATGGGGGAATGCTGTGTCGACGTGGAGGTCCATGGCCGTCCTGCCTTCCTATTCACTGGCAGATTGTCTCAACTCCGAGTGGACAGCCATCCAATTCAGTTTTTCGTTTTGTCTGTGAAGAGCGGTGCATCCTCCTCAGGCGCAGACCTTGCGTCGGCATTCAACCCCGACAGCACAACACATATTACCAGCGCTCGAGACCTCTAAACGCAGGCAAACGTCAAGTTGCAAAAGTGTATGTCATGTTTCGTCTTTTTACGAGTTTCATTTGTAGCCAATTGGAAGCAATTTAGATGTATGGAGCTCTACGTCACGAACCAACGACGCATGCAATTTCCTGCGAATATAGGACGAACACCCGAGACCTTTAAAGACAAGCAAACGGCAAGTTGCAAAAAGAGAAGAAACATTTTGACTGCGTTTGAAGGTCTCGGGCGTTCGTACTAAATTCGCAGGACGTTGCATGCATCGATGGAGCGTGGCGTAGTGCTCCATACATCCAAACTGCTTCCAATTGGCTACAAATGAAACTCGTAAAAACAAGAAACATCACATACACTTTTCTAACTTGACGTTTGACTGCGTATGAAGGTCTCGGGCGTTGGTACTACACTCTCAGGACCAACGACGCATGCAATATCCTACGTGCATATTACCAGCGCTCGAGACCTCTAAACGCAGGCAAACGTCAAGTTGCAAAAGTGTATACTGGACGATCCTATCAAGTTCACTGCTCGGTGTTGGTTAAAGCTTCAAAGGACAACTCATGCTGCCCGCGATCATGGCCCGCGATGAGTCCGACTCCATTGCCGGCACGTGGCAGCTTGTTTAAGAAACGGAGGGTAGATTGCGTTGGTCTAGTGATACAAAGCCTATAGAGACTACTGCAGACTAAAAACACACGACGTACCACGTGGCAGGCCGTGATCCCAATCCGCATTTTTCAAAAGCCATGGCGCCGTTCACATCAATTACGCGCGCCGGCTCATACGCCAAGATCTCGGCCGGCGTGACATGTGTGCGTGAGGGCACGTACGCTGGCATGTTCTTGGAATCTGCGAAAGCGCGGCGCGGCCCGCTCGGGTACATGATACGCAGCTACGACAAGCTTTTGCGCGAGGCCGAGTCCGTTTGCGTGCGCCTCTGTCTCGTGCTTGGCGGCCTCTAGCTGCTCTTGCCCGTCATCCTCACACCGCGTACGGCCCTTTCTCTTCCATTCTTCTCTTTCTCGACTGATAAGTCTTGTGTTCTTAGTGTTTGTCTACTGGAAGGTCGACGATTCGATCGACTGGGACTGGGCCACCGTGATGGTGTTTGTCTCCTGGTACGTGGAAACGGAACGCACGATAGAGACGAGTAACTCGCTCTCTGCTTAGCAATGGCACTCTGACGTGGCTCTGCGGATTTGTGTTGCATCTCTTTGTCGTGCTGCGCCTCGACGACCTTGTGGACTGGTCCTGGATCTGCATTATTATTCCGATCTACGTCTCCTTGCTCGACTGGGGTAGCTTTGCCGGCAATGCTTCCCTAGCGCTTCAACTCACTTTTGTGGCGCGAAAACTGGACCACCACACCAATTCGTCGTGGTTGAAAGTCCAATTTCTGACGTGCCGTCGCGGCCGCGTTCTTTTTCCTCGTACGCCTCCATCTATCGATGACGCTTACGAAAACTGTAGTATTGATTCGCCAATACTGTCGTAGGTGTTTCTCCGGTGCATCGCGTGCTATAGACATAACTCGCTATACATGCGCTAGACCGGCCTCGCGAGTCTCGTTTTTGGGCTCTTTTTGCAAGTACTGTTCCTTGTTCGGCTTGCGTCAGCCACGTTCTCGGCCGTGTACATCATTCTGCCGTGGTTTATTCTCTATGGTCTCGTGGTTCTTGCGGTACGTACTCTTGTGTCCGCAATGACGACGAAGATGGCGAGTTTTCAGAGTAGTATAATAAATGTATTGTTTTCACCGTGCAAGCCGAACGTCACCGATGCGTCGTGCTACATCCAATAAAAGCCGTAAGTCTACTCGGTGTACGACGCGACGGCGCGCAGCTCTGGCGCGCGTTCGTGCAAAATGTGCCCGACGGCTTCTCCGTTCACTTCAATGATACTCGAGAGCCCTGCTGCCTCCAGCAACGCGACCATGTCGTCAGGCGGGCCATCGACGTGCACTTGGCCGACCACCGGCGCGAGCTCGGCCACAGATTGAAGCGCGATGAGGTTCGGTGTGTGGGTGAGGACGCTCAGCAGCCGCGTCCGGCCGTCGCAAACTGGGTGCTGGAAGAGCACGCACGTCGTGCACAGCGCCGTCCAGAGCGGCGGTACGTCAACTTGAGCCGTCGCAAAGTCGAGTGAGACAAAGGCGGGGCGCGCTGTCGAGGTCGGGGCGCGCCACAGCGACAAGCGCGGGTCCATGGGCGCCACTCGCTCCTTGAGGATCGGCTCCAAAATCGCCACGACTGACTCGACCGGGTCGCCGAGGCGCATCGTCGTCGGCGCCCCAAGCATGCACGCCGGGTCCATGATGCGCCCGTATGCGTCCAAGTAGTCGCGCGAGCCGGCGTGCTCGATGAAGGCGCGCTCGTCCAGATACACCTCGGTGAACTCGACCCAGACCGGCGACTGCTGCAGCGATTCCGGCAACGACGCGTCGGGGGACAAGTCCAAGCGATTCATATCGAGCCCGTATTTGCGCAGGTCGGCCTCGACGGCGGCGCGGTGGACACCAACCTGCAATTTCTTGACGGCGGCGCTCAGCCACGGGTGCTCGCCGGCCGTCAAGGCCATGGGAGCGGGCGGGATCATGGACGAAAGGCGAAAAAAGTAGGTCGGTACGCACGGCGTGTCGCGGTGCGTGGCACGGGCGCAGGCAGCGAGGGCGGCGAGGAGTCGGCGGGCTGCGTCGAGGTCGGGCGCGCGCCAGAACACGTGGAGAAGGAACGCCTCGCCGTCGTAGTGCTCGACGGTGCCTTTGGGAGCAGCAAGCAGCGCGGTCATGGACGTCGGAGCTTTGTAGATGCGGGTGGTCATCGTGTGCAAGGCAAGATCGAAAATGACTTCCTCAATTTGATTTGGCAGCGCCATGATGACGCCCCTGACAATGGACCCAATCGGAGTGACCACCATTCTGCTGCATCGTGATTGGCTACCATGTTGCATCGTGATTGGCAACCATATCTGCGTGGGGTTTGGCCACAATGCGAATCATCTTCACCAAGGGTCAATAATCAGATTATTGACCCTTGTCTTCACTGCTACCAGACCAACTGCGGCCAGATTGTCCTTAGGCGCCGTTTCGTCAGCGAAATACCTAGCCCTAGCAGCTCTAAACCATGCTCCTGACACCCTGGTGTGAGCCAAGGAGCAAACCAAGTCGACCAACCCGTTCAGACCGATGCCCGCCACACGCCAACGAAGTTGTGGAGTTGCATAATATTCACAGTCGAGTTACTTTCGGCGGGGACTCGCGTCGGCTTCGTCCGCAATGTCTTCGTCGAGTTCTTCGTCGTCGTTCTTGCCGCCGTCGTCGTCCTTGGCTTCCGGGCGGCTCTTGGTCGGAAGCGGCACGTCGTTGAGGATCTTGCTCGACACATACCCCTTGAGCGGAATGTTGCGGCTGCGCATCGCATCCAATAGCTCGGCGACCTGGTCCTTGTCGCCGCTCGCGTACGCCTGTTGCACCAGGAGCCCAAATGCGTCGCCGAGTCGGACGGCCGAGTCGACGTCCGGCTCTTCCAGCAGTGCGTGGACGAGGCGCACCATCTCGGTCGGGTCCGCCTTGGCCGCGCTCTGCGCATCGGCGAACGCCGCCATGAGTTGCCCACGGCGCTCCAGCTGGGCAAGTCGCTTGTCCTTGCCAGCGCTCGTGGCTTTGGCAAGCACTTTGGCAGCTTCCGCGAGGTACGTTTGGGCTTTTGTGTAGTCCTTGGCGTCGTCAATCTCGACGTTGGCGTTGGCTTCGTAAAAGCCCGTCAGCGCCTCGAACGCTTTGGCTTTGGTGTAGAAGCCCACAATGTTTTTGGCCAAGTCCGAGTCCTTCGCCCAATTGAGCGTCTGGAGGTAGTTGGCTGCGAGCACATAAATGTCATTGTTGCGCGAGACGTTGGCGAAGAAGATGACCTTCTCCGTGTCGCCCGACTTGAGGAGACACTTCATCGCTTTGAGTTTGGCGCCAGCTTGCGTATACTTCTTGGTCGCTAAGTGGTACGAGCCTTGGTGCTTGCAGCATTTGGCGATCTTCATCAACAGCTCGTTTCGGCGCTTTGTGCCGGCCGGGTCGTCGTCGGGCTTCGGCGGTGTGAGCTTCTCGGCCATCTCCTCGGTGATCTTGACCTTGTGGGCCACGCACATGTCGAGTGCGTCCGGCACGCGCTGCGCCAAAATGAGTAGCGGCACGGCCTTGGCGTGCTGTCCGTTCTGGGCAAAGAAGTCGGCGCACTTGCTTAAAATCGCCGGCGACGTGCCGGTCGCGGCGCCGAGCTCGTCCGCGATCGTGTGCAGCTCGTCAAAGAGCGACGCTTGGAAGCAGAGCTCGAGCGCCTTGGCCACATAGCCGCCCTTGTGGTACAACGCGACAGCCTTTTCGTGCTCGCCTTTGGCTTCAAAGTACTGGGCACATTCGAGCATCGGACCCGGCTTGCTCAATAGCGCGTACTGCATGAGGTCGCCGTCGAGGTTGTGTTCGCGGCTGAGCCGGATCGCGTGGCCGTAGCTGCCGCTGAGCGCGTAAAACTGAATCGCCTTGCCGACGTCGTCGTGGGCCTCGAATTGGCGCGCCAAGTGGTACGCGGCCGCGCGGTTGTTGGTGTTGGCGACGACTTGACCGGCCGCGTCAAAGTCCTTCTTGAAGCACAGCACGCGCACGAGCGAGAGATAGTCCTTTGCGCGGCGATAGCAGACCGCAGCGGCGTCGAATTCGTGGTTGGACTCTTGGTACTGCGCCCACCAGAGGAGGAGCGCCGGGTCGTCCGTCTTGCTCGCATATGTGTCGAGCATCTCGAGCTTCCCGAGGCCAAACAGCATCCGCGGAATGTCTTTGGCGGCCGTGCCCGCAAGCTCAAAGTGCCGCATCGCGTCCTTGAGGTTGCCTTCGTCCTCGAGGTGCTTGGCATACGCAAAGTGCGTGCTCTTGAGATGGATGCGGTCGCGCTTGGTCGCAACTTCAATTGCTTTCGACCAAAACCCCGCGGCTTGATACAGCTTGTTGAGCAAATCGAACCGGTTCGACTCCTTGTAAAGCCGCGCCGCGTCGTCAAGGAGCCCAAGCTGGATGGCCACCATGGCAATAGGCACTTCCACCGGCGCCGTTGGGCGGGCGGCTGCATCGACCGCCGCCGCCCCGCGCGCATGACCCATGTGGCCGAGGCACACTTGCGCGACGTCGAGGCGCTTGGTCTTGACGCACATGTGCGCCATGTTTTCCCACACAGACGTGTTCTGGATGAGCTTGACGGACCGGTACGCTTCGTCCATGTTGCCGATCGTCATAAAGTACGAAAAGTCGATGAGCGCTTGGCGCGTTGGCTCGTCGACTCGGTCGAGGCCGACGAAATCGCGCATGATCTTGGACCGCAGCAGCGCGACGGGCCCATCGCCGTCTTTTGCCTCGCGGCCATCCTGGTTGGAACTCAAGTAGAGACGGGGGACGTGCATGCCGAGCAGCGCCGAGTACTTGGCGTCCAGGTCAAAGTTGTCTTGCATCAAGAGACCGCGCTCGTTGGACGCAAAGAGGATCAGAATCTCCTTCTCGGCCGAGGACGCGAGGCGCGTCACATCCGCGCTGCTCTCACCGTCGCTCTTGGGCGGCGCGACGTCGTCCCTCGCGCCACTCGACTTGGCGCTACTCTGCTCGTCGTGTTTGGCCTACGTAAATGAATTTTCAATCCTGTTGACGTGTCATCGAGTCGAGTACGTGGAAGGTTTCGCACGCCACGAGCCGCGGCTCCTGCGGGTCCCAAAAGTGGGCGACTGGGTACCGCACTGGTCCGCAGTCGTACGACTGAAACACGTTGAGGTCCGTATTGAAGAGGTACACTTTGGTGTGCGGAATGCGAACACGTAACGTGCCCTCGACCGCGTCGACGAGGAAGGCGACGCGCGTACCGTCACAGTTGACGCTCAGCGAGTGCAGCATAGACTTTTCACTCACGCCCGAAAGGCCTTTCTACATATCTCACCGATAAGAAATGAGCACTCGAGCACGACGTACCATGATGTTGCCCATGCTGCCAAATGCCTTGGGCTCGCGCAGCGAGAGGTCAAAGACGCGAATGAGTCCTGTGTCGGTACCGACGGCGAGAAACTTGTTGTTGACGTGGAGCAGCATCGGCTTGCCCTCGGCCTCGGTGAAGCTCAGCTTGTTCTTGATCGTACCGCTGGCGTTGGTCACATGCACGTGGTTGCCATGCGTCAAGTAGACGGCGTCGCCGCGCAGCTGCATCGCACTCGCATTGCTCTTGAACGTGCCTGCCCGCTTGCCTTCCAGGTCGTTCTGGAGCTCAAACACCTCGGCTTTCGAGCCGTTCCAGACCAGGATCATGTTGCCGTCGTGGGCGAGGCCCTTGATGCGAATCGACGCGTCTAAGGATGCTTGGAGCACGGTGCCATTCGAGAACTTTTCAATCGAGAGTGCCATTGGTCGTGTCTGGATCACGGCCGTGTCGCCGCTCACGCACCGGTTCATAATGGCTTCGTGGAAGATGCTGACACCGGCGACAGGGGCGTGGCCGTAAATGTACGACGAGAGCGGACTCCACCCGAGCTTGACCACCGGCTGCCGCATGTCGGCGTGCGCGAGGAGTGCCCACTGCGTGACCTTTGGGCCGTTGCAGCGCCAAAAGACCACTTTGCCTTCGTTCGTGCCGGCCGCGAGAATGCGCTTGCGCGGGTTAAAGTCGAGTGCGCTCACACGGTCCGTCGACGGCAAGCCCGCGCTTGCGAGACTCAGAACAAAGTTTTCCTCTTTTTGGAGATCGCAAAAGCGAATCACTTGCTCGTTGGATGCCGTCGCCAAGAGACCTAGTCCTTGCGTAAACAGCAAACTCGGATAGTGTACTCGTGGGTACCGGGGCCGGCCCAAATGGCCTCCTTGAGCCCCGTATCGGCCGACACGCTAAGCTTGCCCTTCATGACGGGCTTGACCGTGCCATCCGAGGCGATCTGGAGCTGCACGAGTTGCGACGTGCGCGTAATCACCACGAGTCTAGCTCAACTTGATACCTCGATAAAAATGATGGAGACCGCACCGGTGCTTTTCTTCGTAAAACATCATGCAGTCGATCGCGTGGCTGAGCGTTTGGACGTCCGAGATGTGCCCCAAGTCGTCGGCGTAGTGCACCGAGCCAATGTCGCCGCCGAAGAAGAAGGACGGGCACGCTGCTGTCGCGGAGAAGGACACGTCGCTAGCAAGAGCGTCACCAAGAGCACCACATGTATATATGTATCTACCCTTTGGCCTCCTTCTCGCGCTTTTGCGGCGACACACAAAAGACGCACTGCGTCAAGCTGCCTTGGCGCGTGTACTGCGTCGCGAGCATCATTTGGCTGCGCGCGTCGACCTTCCAGACGGCGAGGATCCCGTTCTCATCGCCCGTGACGAGGCGGTTGCCGTACGGCGCCCATTTGAGCAGTGTGAGGCGGGTCGTGTGCGGCGAGTTGACTTCGCGCGCTGCATTCTCCTTGGGAATCCAGAGCGACACCATGCCTAGTATAGCCGAGCATAGGCGCTTATAGGCAAGCGACAGTGACGTACCGTCGCCCCATGCGACGGCGAGGGCCGTGCCCCGCGGCTGCCACGCGATCGACATGATGTCGGCCTTGCGCGAATGGACGGGCACTTGGAGTTTCTCGCCCTGCGTTACGAGGCTAAGCCCATTGCTCATCATGGACAGCGTACCTCATCGCTGAAAAAATGAACCTCGCGGTTGTCGAGCGCGACGGCCAAGATGGACTCGCTCTCGCTCCACGCCGAGCAGAGCTGCCGCGTGTTGGCGGGCAGGTCCACCAAGTAGTCGTAGAACAGCGCCATCCGAGATGATTATGCGTCGCTTCGACTTCTGCAAGATCGCGAGCCAGATCTTTGATGTCCAGCACGCACGTCTAAAACCACCCAACTGCAATCTGGCCTTTCCGTGTCATGGGCTGCTATTACTACATAAGTAAGCTACGGGCGGTCTTTGGGTGCTAGCGTCACGCGGCCCGCCACGCCGATCGCGCCCGCCTGGCGCTGGCACAGGGCCACGTCCGCAATCGTCATGTCGACGCGGCTGAGGTTGACGCGGAGGCGCGAGCCAGGCAGCGCACGCACGATCTTTTGCGCGCCCGCCGTCGTCACGAGCGTGTTGGACACGTCGAGCTGCGTGAGCGAGTGGATGCCAGCACGGACCAGCGCGTCGAGGCCGTCGTCGCCGAGTCGGTTGAGCTTGAGCGTCAAGTGCGTCAGCGTATTTGGGAGGCCACTCGCGAGCGCGGTCGCCCCCGCGTTGCCGATAAAGTTCATCGAGACGTCGAGGCACCGCAGACGCGGCATGTGGCGGAGGCTGGCGGCAACCCAGTGGCAGCCTTCATCCATCAGAAACGTCGAGGCCAGCATCAGGTGCGTCAGGCTACAGAGGCGTTCGAGGCGCGGCGCGAGCAGTCGCATCCCCATAACGCCAAGGTAGTTGTTGGAGAGACGGAGTGTCTGGAGCTGGGGGGCGCCGTCCAAAGCGAGACTGAGGTTGGGCATGTCGGCGGCCTTGAGCCCCGTGCAGTGGAGCTCAAGCCGACGTAGGCCTCGCGGCAGAGGCGCGCCGTTCAAGAGGACGACGCACATTTCTGGCGCGTTCGTGACGAGAAGCGCCTCGAGGCTGTGTGCGAGCTGCAACGCCGTGGGAAAGACGCCAGACGTCGGTGCTACACCAGCAATCTCGAGCTCTTGAGCGCTTTGCGCCGTCACCCACGTCGCCAGCTGCACTTCGTCCGCTGTTGTCAGGCGCATGGGTTGGTGCAGCAAATGCGTATACCCGAGTGTGAAGCGGGTGAGCTTCGGAAGTGCTGCAAGCACGGGCACAGCGTTCGTTGGCGATGTCCACGCGAGCTTGAAGTGCGTGAGGTTATGGCACTGGCGGAGCGCTGCCGCGGCCGCGACGACTTTAGTGGGTGAAAAGCTCTGGAGATTCAAGTAGCTGGACGTGAGGTGATTCGCGAACGTCTGCAGCGCCACGAGATGGTAGTTGCTAGGGGCAGCAGTATCGTACACGAGTATCCGCGTGCTCGGTAGCGCGGCCGCCGCCACCATATCCGTCAGTCCGAGGTCGTAGACTTTGACGCTGCGATAGAGCCCGATGCTGCCATGCAAGAGAGGCGCCAGCACTGACGTCGGCAGTCCCGACTTGCGCAAGCACAAGTCCGGCCAGACGTCGCTGGGCGGCAACATCGTCGCAAGCTCGCGCAGGCACACGAGACTCGGGCTCAGCGTCGGACATGCGTGCAAGAGCGCGGCCACCTGCGCTGGCTCCTGCACGAACGAGGCGACCGCGAGTAGCGGGCCACTGTCGAGGCGGTCGAGCATCGGTCGCAAAGGAGTGTCGAAATGTCCAGAGAATCAACGAGTTGCCAACGTCGTCGTCGGTTGAGCGCCGCCGGTGCGAGAAAGGAACGTTTGGGCAGCTTGCCACGTGCGACTGCATAAAGATCGGGATCTCCGCCGACTGTAACAACGCAACCGACGAAGCAAGTGCAACATTGGGAGCGCCGCAGTGGGCTGAGAGTGACATGATCACGACCTTCTTGGTCATCCCCATGCTCGCATACCAGCAAGTGTGGCCTCGCGAATGCTTACGTAAGCCAGAGAAAGGACAGGCCGGCCGTCGTCTTCGTCCTCTCCTGGGTATTTTGACCTCGTACGGTACATATACCCGGACGCTTGTACCGGTACCAATGAACTATTACATCATTTTGACGTGTCAAGTCGTTGGCGCCATCGTCACCAAGGCCCCGAGGCGCTCATGGCGGCGGTTCGATCCTCGGAAAAGCAATTCTTTTAGTTTGGTTCTGTGGTGCGTTTCGTCATGACCGATGCCGAGACCATCCTCGCGTTCCTGGACCGTCTTCTCTTGTCGGCGTATGCGACGCCGTACTTGACGTGCGGGCAGTGCAACAGTCTCAACTTTATCGACGTCGCCCAAATCCAAGGCATCCGCAACGATCTGCACCGCATCGGCGACTACGAGCGGCTCGTACCGTGTGTCGGCTGCGGGCGCACGATCTTTCTGCGCCCGGGCGTCGCCAGTTTGGCCGCCGAGATCGAGCACAAGACGCTGCTCGACGACGGCCACGAAAAGCAGCGCGAGCCCGCGGCCATCCACATTCAGGTACTTGCTCGTATCATGCGATCGCGATCCAAGCTAATGGCATGTAGCGCGTCGCGCGCGGGTACCTCGGGCGAAAGGAGGCCAAGGCGCGGCGCCAGGCCAAGCTCGAGTACGAGCGCAAGATCTTTCGCGCCGCCGCCTGCATCCAACGGCGGATCCGAGGCGTCGAGGCACGGACCCGATACCGCGTCGAGCAATGCATTGCCGTCATCCTCGTACGCTATCGACCTTGTCCTTCGCCTCCATGAGTGTGCGAGTAGAACACACACAAGTCAGTGTATGCGTTTGCAACGACCAACCAGCCCAACATGGGCCGGATCTTTTGGTATGAAAACGCCGCCGAGCTCGCAGTCTTTTCCACCGACTACCGCGAGTTTGTGCGCCGGACGGGCAACCGGCCACCGCTCTACCGCGTCGAGGCCAACGTCAAAGAGGTCGCGCGGCGCGTCTTGGCGCGCGAGAACTGCCTCGTTGCACGGATCCAAGCCGCATGGCGGGGGCTCACGACCCGCGTCGCGTACCTCGAGCTCAAGCGGCAGCTGGGCTGGCATCGCAGCAGCCGCATGGCGCCCGCGGTGCGGATTCAGCGCCTCGCCCGCATGCACGCCGACCGCCGGCGCCGCCCCGCGCCCGTGCCCAGCCGCGACGCGTGCCTCGCCGACTATTACACGATTTACACGGAGAAGACGCGGAGCGCACATGCTCGGCATCTGCAGCGGACGCTACTCGCCACGTACCGCGACCATGTGCAGCACAAGCGCGGCGCCAAGCTCGTGGGACTGCCCATCGAGCCCTTCCGCGTGTACAAAAACGACACGCTCTTCCCTCATAGTTGTAGCAACCAGCAGTCGAACAATGCAGTGGCCAAGTCGACAGCGCCAAAAGTGATGTCGGCCTTTCGCCGTGCCAAAGCCAAGCTCGATCGCGTCGCACTGCAGCCAGCATCGCTGCCCCAGCGACTGCGGCAAGAGGTGACCAACCAACGGAGCGATTCGTAATCCAAACACATCTTGTTGCGTCACGAGCTAGCGCCATGGGCGTCGTTCCAAGCGTCGAAACGACCGAGCGTGGCTTCCGACACACTAGGCCGCACGCGGCTAAGGGCAGCTGTAAAGTCGCTCATCGCTATCGGTCTGAGCTCGTCTTTGGAGATGTGGGCGAGGCGCGCGCCGACACTGCGCAGGGGGCCCATCGCTGCCTCCTTGCAGAGCTGCCGCACGTCGCTGCCCGAGAACCTGCACCGCGATTGCACAAGGTACATGAGCGTACGAAAGGAATATGCACTCACCCGCTCGTCTCGCGCACAATGCGTGCAATGTCGCGCGGTGTCAGCGTGCAGCTGTGCGGCTTGAGGGCGTGTAGTAAAAGAGCTTGTCGCGCCACTGCGTCCGGGAGGGGCACTAGACAGTGGCTGTGCGCCATCCCACTCGTTGCGATACGTCGACTACCGTAAATACGTTTTTCCAGCCGGCGCAGCAGCGCCTCGTCGAGCTCGAATGGAAGGTTCGTAGCGCCAAGAACGAGCACGCGGTCGGCGCTCCTGGAGGCAACCCCGTCCATTTGCACGAGAAACTACTCGTGTGTGAGACACCGCCATGCGGCAATGTATCAACTTGATTCTTGAGGCGGCGACTGGCTTCGTGTTCGCTGGCGCCGGCGCGGGCCGAGAGCACCGCATCGATTTCGTCCATAAAGATGACGGACGGCTGCAACTCGCGCGCCATCTCGAAGAGCGCGCGCACGAGCTTCTCACCTTCGCCCATCCACTTGGACGTGAGCGTCGATGCCGTGATGCTAATCCCAAAGGTATACATATTGAGGTAGAAAAAGCCCGGTACGAGAAGAACGTCGCCTTGGCCTCGGTCGCAATCGCCTTGGCCAGCATTGTCTTGCCTAGTAGTGGTACGATGCTAGCGATGACATAGTGTCAAGTCCTACGAACCAGTCCCCGGCGGGCCAAAGAGCAGCGCGCCTTTGGGTGGACTGCAAAGACCTAGGTGCGGGGCATGAGCTGTCGGTAGTAGTAGCGTGTGCTCGTCACCTGTAAAAAGATCGGGTCGAAGCGTCGGCAACACAATTGCTTCCTAGGGTCGCCTGAGCCCCACAACTTGATACGTCAGAGAATGTAGCACTTGAAGCGTCTGCTTGGCGAAGCTCAGTCCTGCAATGTCGTCCCAGTGCACGCCGGGTGACTTGTCCAGCACCTCGTCGAGAATCATGTGCGCGTACGGGTCATTCTGCGCAACGAGGCTGGACGTGGTCGGCGGCGGCGGCACTGCTAGGGCCTTGACCTGCTCGGCTCTTGTGATGTAGCCCTCGATCTTCTTCTTCCAGCTGCCTTGGTCGGGTACGCCTACGACGAGGGATGGAACAACTTTATCCATCGACAAGGCCTAAATACCTGGCAGCAACTCCAGCATGCGCTGGATGAGACGCGTGTAGAGCTCGAGCGCCTCGGCGTATGCGTGCGCCTCGTCTGCAGCCACTGCGCTCGTCGCAAGGCTCCGAAGCGCCGCCATGCGCGCGTCCTCGGGCTCCGGCGGCGTCGAGGACCGTCGACCAAAGCCAAAGAGATGCATGGCAATTCCGATCCAGTTTGCACGTGACTACAAACACGCAACGTCGACGGGGCATTTGTCCCAAATGTCCCACGTGGGATATGGGCAAAATATTGTGGGCAGAACCGGTTAGTCTCAACTGCAGCGACAACCCTGCACCTTGTCGAGATGCTCGGCAGCAACGTCAAGCAAACAGCGTACTATGCCACTACATGTGCATGCGTTGTGTCGGGACGGTCATCGCGAGGGTAGATCGATCGATTGGTCGCTCCACTCGCACCGCACGACAAGCTCGAGCTCTCACGCGTTCTTGGGACATTGGGGCAAACCTCCTGGGTAATTCCGGTGGTTTATCCGGCGCCACCGGAAAGTGCACCGATGGTCAAAAACCAACATGTTTCGTCGCGCGTGCTTGACGCTGGCGCGGCCGCTGACGCGCCACAGCCACATCAGCGGCAACCAGGTGCGCCCGGGCGTCGCTGTCGAGATCGAAGGCAAGCTGTACCGCGTCGTGAAGAGCCAGTCGGTCAAGCCGGGCAAGGGTGTTGCCTACATGCAGGCGGAGCTCCGCGACATTGTGACGGGCACCAAGATCAACCGCCGCTTCCGGTCCTCCGAGAGCGTCAAGAAGGCGCCGCTCACGAAGGACCAGCCGTTCCAGTTCTTGTACCAAGACGGCAGCAAGCTCGTGCTCATGCAGCCCGAGACCTTTGAGCAGGTGCGCGTGCATCGCTGGCGGCGCCGCTCACCTCGCTCGCTGCTTTAGATTGAAGTGTCGACGGAGCTCCTCAACGACAAGCAGATGATTGTCTTGAACGAAGGCATGACCGTGGCGCTGCAGATTGTCGAGGGCGTCCCGCTTTGGCTCACCATGCCCGACTTTGTTACGCTCAACGTCGAGGTACTACGTGCAATCCGTCGCATGGTCGTGACGCACTTACTTATGTATGCACAGTCGATCGTCACGCTTGGCGTGGACAACAAGGAGGCGACTTTGACCAACGGCAGTACGATCCAAGTGCCGGGCAACATTGAAGCCGGCGACGCAGTCAAGGTGTCGAGCGAGACAGGTCTCTTTGTGGAAAAGATGTGAGCGCTGTAGACACCAGCACAAACACGACATGTTGCTGCTCGCAGCCCGTTTGACTGAGTTGCTCGAGAGCACGCATACATTGATTCGTGGAACGTCGAGATTGGCGGTCCATCTCCACCCTGCGACCATCTCTCCATCGAGCCTGCCGTCTATCGGCTGCTACTCTTGCATCCACAACGCGCCTTCCGACTCAGATGTGTAATCGCTCTTCGGTGCAACCGAACGAGCATCCAACTGGCCATGCTACCGGCACCCTCATGAGCAGTAGCCTACCGATAGAGAGCGCGTAGGACGCTTGGCCTTGCGTAGCCCATATCGCGGGCCAGCTCGGACAAGGACGCCCTCGGACGTCGACGCTGGCGACGTCGGCGACGGGTGGCTGGCCAACCCGGTTGGTCTGTCGGCCGAAGAAGAGCGAAATTAGTGTGAAATAAAACCATGGAAAACCCGCTGCGTGTATTTTTTTGCATCGTTGAAGCGCGTCCATACAAAGTGCCAGTGCAAGTTTGTAGAGTTGCACGAACCAGCAATAAAACTATGATTCGTCCGGATAATTCGGAATCCGGATAAAAAGCGACCTGAAACGAGAGCTCATTTGCCAAATGGCGTCCAAGTGCTCGGATCGGCCGCCGGCCGCGGAGACCGATCTTCGCCAGACCGACCTCGACGCATGTACCTTCATCTCGGAAGCGCAGCATGGCGACCGCAAGCGTGGGCGAAGCGGCGAGAACGGCCATGTCCATCGTCACAAACGATCACATGCGCACCGACGACACCCGTACGAGCGGGCGCCGCGCCGAAGCCGGTCACGATCGCGGTCACCGCAGCGCCCGGCGACGAGGAAGCGGCGACGACAGCAGCAGCATCAGAAGGGCAAGAAGCGCGAAGACGAATGGTTCGCGACGGCCTCGGACGACGCCGAAGACGAAGGTGGCAACGATGACGACGATGAACCCGAGGAGAAGTCACAAGACGACGGCGACGAGACGCTGGCGCAGATGGAGAAGCGACTGCGCCCGGGAGCCGCCGACTTGAGCATTTCAAACGACCTCCTACATGCGTCCGAGTCGTGGCAAGGCGCCAAGCCAACGAACGAAGACCGCGTCGCACACATGCTCGACATGCTACCAGGACCTGCGTTTGCGATCTTTGACGGTCACAGCGGGTCCGCGTCGGCCGACTTTGTCATGCGCAACCTCTTGAAAAACGTGTCGGCCAGCATGCGCCAGCGCGGGTTGCCCGAGACGCAGATCAAGGAACTGCTTAGTGGGAAGCATGCGGACCGGCTGAAGGAGTTGAAGCGCAAGACGGAGGTCTTGCAGTACCAGCAAGAACAACTGGAAGAGCTCCTTGAGTCCAACAAGAAGATGGACATGTACGAGATCAGCTTGATGCCGTCCGTGTACCAAGATGTGCTCCAGACGCTCGCCGATGGCCGGTCGGCGCTCGAGCTCGCCGAGCGCGCGCAAGTCGAGCGCGCAGCCAAGGTCGAGCGCGTATATTCTCAGTGCTTTGAGAAAGAGCTCTTCCAGAAGGCAATGATCGAGGGCTTCCTCTTCTCGGACGCTGAGCTCCTCCGGAAGCAGCTCGACGACGGCAGCACGGGCCTCGTCGCGTGGTTTGCAGGGTTCCGACACGAGTGTCTTCGCCTTGTTTTGGCCAACGTCGGTGACTGCCGCGCCGTCCTCTGTCGCGACGGCAAGGCCTTGGCGCTCACCCAAGACCACAAACCGAGTCGACCAGACGAAGCGGCGCGGATCAAGCGTGCGGGCGGCTACGTCGGAACCGTTCAAGGCATCTCGCGCGTCTGCTCTGCGGCCGGCGCCGGCGTGTCTTTAAGCAGCCGGGAGCGAACTACGTACCTCTCGGTATCGCGGTCGTTTGGCGACCGAGCACTCAAAGTACCGTCCAACATTGTGTGCGCCGACCCGGAAGTCCGCGTCGTGAGCATCGAGCCGCGCGACACATTTCTCGTGCTTGCGTGCGACGGGATCTGGGACGTCTTGAGCAACCAAGACGTCGTGGACATTGGTCTCGAGCACTTTGGCCACCCCAAGCGCGCCGCCGATGCCATCGTCAAGCGTGCGTACGCGGCCCAAAGCAAAGACAACTTGTCTGCGATCGTCATCTACTTTGGATGGCGCGCCGACGAGGCCGCCGCGCAGTGGCACGCCGTCCAAGCCGAGCGCGCACGACCCACCTGCAAGGAGCCAAAACCCGTCGCGTTAGAAGAAGAGGCCGGCCTGGATATGTTTAGCATGTAATTAGGGCGATCATACAGCAAGTAGGATAGCACCTCGTCCTCGTCGTCACCAAGGCACCTCAAGGCGCCCCACCCGTATGGTCGTTGAATCTCACCGCGGTCACTTACCCATTATCTCTGCAAAGGTTCAACAAGACCAAGCGGACAAAACGCAAGCGTGTCAAACTTCTTAGAGAGCGACAACTTGGTCGGCCGCGTCGTCAATGACGGTCTCGAGCAAGACGGCGCCCGTGACGCTGTCCTTGATCGTCTACAACCAGCAGTGTCAAGCAAGAAGATGGCGCCAAGGCGTACCCAGACATGCGTGGCATGCGTGTTGTAGACATGGTGTTGGCGCGGACCCAGCGTCTTCATGAGCTTGGACCGCCAGTACAAGTCGACTGGCGCGTCCGTGGGGTTTTCGAACCGAACCGAAATGCGCGGGCGCGGCGCCACGTGTCGCTTCTTGTTCCAGACCCAGAGGTTGGCGCCCCTACATGCCGTCGTTTAGTTTTGTCGCGGCGTACGTATTACCACTTGGTGCCGTCAAGGACGGGGCACCCTCCGTGGAACGAAGCCGGGTCAAGCTCGCCGTTGGGTTTTTGGCTGTAGAAGAGGATTGCATGGGCCTTTCGGGGGTACGAAGCCAGTCTATGGACGACTTGAGAGGACGCGGTGCAGAAACTGACGTACTGCGAGTGGCACTTGAGCGTCATGTCGTGCTCCCAGGACCCAGCCTCGAAAAGCGACGACGCGAGGGTTTCAATTCCGTGCGTCTCCGCTTGTGGATGGGCAAAACCCTCGGGCATCTCTGCGTTGGGAAAGACGGTCTGGCCGCCCCGCGTGACGTTGGAGAGGTAGAGAAAGATGGTCGCAAATCTACATTTGACGCGGCTCAAAATAGTGCAAAGTGAGAAAGGCGCACCGGTTGGTCCCCCCTGAGTGCGGATTCGGGTTCCACGCGTCGTTGGGCGCCTTGGAAAAGTAGTCGGTGTGCGGCACGTACGCCTGCTTGGGGCCATAGCGTAGGATCTGGACGCCGTCGCACATCTCGGGGTCGTATTTCCCGGCACGCAGCAAGTCGAACGACCGCTTCCGAAAGGCGATCGCCGCCGGAGACGTCGAGTCGAACGCGTTCTCGCTCGTCCGGCGCGTTGACCGGCGCACGCCTTCGGCCGACGAGCCAACTGTCGATGGTCGCAGCTTTTCGTGCTCGGCCACATCGTCCGCGTCATCTTTGGCGAGCACCTGCTGAATGAGAACGTCGGCGTCGGCTTCGGAGAAAAAATGGTGCACGTGAAAGACGCGCGGAGACTCAGTCCACGATTCGAGGATCAGCGGCGCGTCCGTCGGGCTCTGCGTCGACTCGATGTACACGCGGTGGCCGGGTTTTACAAACGGCCATACAAAGAGCAGTCCTGGCGCCACGAGGTAGAGACGGTCCTCGGCGGCAATGTCGTCGTACGAGGTAACGAGGTAGCCATTGCCCGTGTACACGCGGTCGGCCACCACTGGTGTCGCATGGTTGGCGAGGCCTTCGACCTCGACAAGTGTCGAGAGATATGCTGCGAGCGCGTCGCCCGACGGGACGAGCGCCGGTGTGAGCGCCACTGCGACGCCGTTTATGGACTTGCCGTTCGCGTAGACGGTGACGGGCTTGTGGGGCAGTGTCGACGATAGTAGCCATTCGCGGGTTGCCGACGGGTCCACCAAGTAAGCGAGTAGTGCCATTGCCGCCGCGATGCAGAGCCACGTTGTTGTCGCCTTCGGGCCCATTTTGGTTGCTGAGGAACTTGCCAAATGCCATGGGTGACGTTCGAAGCAACACGTGTAGCCAATCAGCGGTCCGCCACGAAGTAGTAGTGTGGTACAGAGCACATTCGCGTTCGTTGGGATTGCGGCGTCCATGGCCGCAGGGCGCCGCAGACAGCAGCCCTGCGCCAACGATGCTGTATGCTCACTGTATCCATGGTGCAGGGCCCACAACTTGGCACGTCTTGTGTAGTACCAGTGCCCCTGCCTATATGTTTGCTACGAAATGGTCTGTGCGCGTGGAAATGATTTATGTTTTGTGAAGCGAATACGACGAGCCCCTACATAAAACCTCGAGCTTCTGTGTATGGCCAACATAGCGTGTGGGCAAGGACACATGCCCTTGCTCCAGGGAAGGTCCATTGAGCCCCTTACTATAGTTTCGTTGAACAGTAAAATGCAACGCGTCTGGCTGCTCGCTTCATCTAGTAGAGGCTGCTTGGATTGAGCCTTTGCACCAGACTACTTTACTGCGCTTTACATGTCCTTCAAGCCCTTGGAGGTTGTCGTTTCTGCATGGGCACCAAACAAGCCTACATGAGTCGCGGGAAACTAGACGTTAGCAATCCAATGTAGATGTCGTTTGCGGATCTTTTTCCGTCAAAGCTCTCCAATTTAGGGCTCGAGAACCATGTGTATCTATGTGGCAGCGTATTACTAGTAACGTCAGCGATAACAAAGCACGTTTGGGCATCTCGAGGACAATCGTTTCGATTAAGAGCGAGTGGTATTCGTCTGCCCAGTAGCAAGAGTCTCTGTTCCGCTGACGAAACAAGGTCTTAAACCACCATTACGGACCCTTGGCAATGCGCGTCAAGTGACACAGGATGCCCTCCCTCATCGTGGAAGAGCGTGGTCAAGGAAATAAAATAACGCCCTTGGCCATGATTACTGCCTTTTATAATGAGAATGCTCGTCGCACGAGGTTTCAACGCCCATGTTCATCAGAAATCACTCGTCTTGTGAGTCCTCACCATCTCGTTATCGAATGACTTCAAGTAAATAAATTTCCTGCTTGCACTCTCAAGCTCATCTTCTGAATCAGAAAAGCTTTTCTGCTTGATAACATGTCATTTTTCAGCAACCACTCCACGGAGTCTCTCTTTTGAACCGCTGGTGACGGCCCAACGCTACCGCTGGCGCGCGGTCGACATGATGTGGCCGATCTTACGAGCCTGTGTGCTGCACCCTGTCTGGCTCACCCGAAACGACCGCGTTTTCCGTCCCGAGGCGCCCGTCGTGATGCCCGAAGCGGCCGCCACCCGCGCCGCGTTCTTGACCAAGCTGCATCTCCACCACTTGCTGCTGTGTACCCCAGCGATGTGCCTCTTCCAAATGCTGAACGCCCTGCGCCAAGACGCCTGGCTTCGTAACCGCCTCGTCCCGGCTCGCGCCATCCATATGCCTCGCCTTCAACACGCCGCTGCTGCCGTCTAGCTCAACACGCTTTGAGTCGAAAGCCCACCCCAAAACCAGTTCAGTGTACTAGTAACTTCTATCTGAAAAGACTCACTTCAACAACGGAGTCTAACATTGCTGAACTTGCTACTGACCCATGACGTTGGAGCTGCACATCGCACCTGTAAACGAACGCCCCAGCAGAGGTTTTACATACCCAGCGCGACTGTGCGGGTCCGGGCACAGAGGAAGATTTCACTCGTGCGGCTTCAAGTCGAACGAACTTCCGTGATGTGGCCAGGTAGGAGGCTCACTGCCATCATCAACTTTGGCGTGAGCGAGCACCTGGGGATCCTTCACGTCAAATTCAAGTGACGACATAACTAAATCTGATATGCGGCAAGTCGCGCTCTGTCCAGTTTCGTCTCCAGCCTGAACCCACCCACACCTCAGACATACATACACGCATCTCGTGTCAGGTGTCAAGCCGTCGCCCACGCTATCAAGGCCATGGTGCATGACAAGGACGCTTTCCTTCGAAACGCAATCATATTCTCGGCATATGGGCGGCATTTGCAGGATTTCCGGTCGTGTCCAACCGGGCGGGAAACCAAATGAAGGGAGGAGGTTGGGAGCCTTCGAATGCGCGGGACAAAGCTCCTCCCATCTTTTCGCACTCGTCGACAGAATAAAACGCTCTCTTGCCCAGCGTTTTCTGAGAGGGTTCAGTGCAGTGGAAGAGAGCCAAGCGTGCAGCAGCTGCGGATCCAGAGGCGCCGGCCACAGGGCAGTACATGGTCCGATGCATGCTGTCTCCAACAGCGCCTGTGCTGTTGCAATACAGGCGCTATGGGTATTCTAATAGAGCTAGTGGCTTTCTTCGTCAATTCCGATCCCTGTGAACCCTACCCCTACGGAAGCCCTAGCCCTAGGCTGCATAGCCACGGGCCAGTTGGATTCGGACGATCGAAGCTGGTGGATCGTTGGCGTGGCTGGTCTTGGATGCATCTATCTCTCAAATGCTGTGCTGGCTCAACAACTACACTTGCTCGAGACAATCCTTTCAAACGTTCACGCGTGGGCGCGTCATGACCAAACCATGACGCGGCGTGCACCCGCATCCGCGGACGCTCGTCGTGCTATTTTATGCCGTCGCGTCGGCACCCATGCGATGGGCCGTGTCCGTTGCTTTGCCGACGACGGTCGCACGTCACCAGTGCGACATTAGGATTGCAAGACATTGGTCGACGATCACCCGTTGCGCCTCGTTGCCTTTGTTGCATTACCAAGGTGCCGCTTGCATGGACACGCAGCGGGGCGTGCGCTTTTCTGTGGCCGTTTGAACTAGATCGCAACGGCTTCTTCGAGTAGCCCGCCTTGGACACCGCTCTTGGCCACGTCGACAAGCAGCGCGCTGACACTAGACGCGTCACCGTGAGCTTGGCACGCCATTAGGCGAGTCGTACCGCGTGGCAGTCCATGTCGACCAGAAGGTTTCCACGCGCGGCAGCACGGACGGGTGCAGCACGAGTGCAAAGATAGCGTCATTGCCGCCAGCTAGTACCAGCAACAGCCGATGCATCAACCCCATTCGCAAGTGCAGACGTGTGTACCGCCGGGCACGCCGCCAAAGAGCACGCCAGGCACGCGCATGGTCGCATCAATCAACGCGGTTTGCTCCTCGGGCTCGATCGCGACACCCGCCGCAGACCCCATCGTCCTAGCTCAAGAATTAGACACACAGGTCGCAGGCTCAACGCCGCACCGCAAGAGGTGGCGAACCTCCTCGAACGTCGCGCGCATTGCAAGCAAGGCTGCTCCGAGCGCCGCGTGCACATGCGCCCACTAGATATTTTACACTCATGGTGGGTCCTTGGGTTGGGAGAAAAGTACCGAGGTCGACGGCGCCTCGGCGATGCGCGCCCAAACGTCGTCGGCCACCTTCGGGAGGGCTTCAAACTGAGCGACGATCAGCATATTCTTGGTGTTGAGCGTTTCCCAGAGTGCGTGCGAGCCCGTCGGGTCGGCCTTCTTCCACGCCAATACCTACGCGCACCATACACTACTTGGATCAACACTACCACTAAGAACGTACCTGGCGGACCATCGAGACCGTGGCCGACCCGGCGTTGACGTCGCCCATGATCATGTGCATGTTGTGGGGCAGCCCAAACGGTTTCTAGCACCGAGCCGGCTGAGTGCCTTGACCAAGAGGGAAATGTAAAATCGTACGACGACGTTGTCCCAGCGCGACTGGATGCAGGCGGCGAGGTCTGCCGGTGCGATCGCCGCCAGGTTCTTTTGCGCCACAAACGCCTGAACGCGGTCGGGCGTGAAGCGGTTGTAGCACTGGTTGCCGTACGCCGCGGCCGAGACGTCAAAGCCACTGCCAATCTAATATTTTCCCATTTTCTTTGGGCCTTGAGAGGACCGCACGCACCTTGTCTTGGGCAATCGAGTGCGCAATCTGCGCGAGGTGGTGCACGACGTCGACGCCGGGTGTCGCCGCCGTCGACTGCGCCGTCGGAAGCGTCACTGCGTCAAAGAAGCGCAAGACGGCACCGACGAGCGACGTGATGAGCGCCGCGGAGCTGCCCATGCCCGTTTTGGCAATGACCGGCGTCCCTAGCAAATGCCATTATAAGCGCAGGCGCCATCGAAAGGATGGGTTGTACCAGAGGCGTCCAACGGGCACGGAAGAAAGGCCGGGAGCTTGGCAAGGTGCTCGCGCGTCACGGGCAGGCCGCGCTCGAGGAGCTATTCGGATCATGTCAATAATGCAACAGCAACACAAACCTGTACCTGCGCGCTCTGCGAGTAAAAATCATTGTCATCCTCCAGCGTAATGCGCAGCGAGTGCGTTTTCGCCAGCGACGCGAGCTTGGCGCCGAACGCCGGGCCAAGGAGGCCCTGCAGCGCTTTGGCGCACACTTGCAGCGTCTTCTCGACGTACAGGTTGGCCGGACTCTGCGGCCTACACACGGAGAGAAGCAGCCATAATGCACTGCGCGACGAGAGCGGCCGCGTACGAGAGCTCAAAGGCGTCGGTCGAGAGGACACCGGTCAGCACTTGGTGGAACTGCGGGCTGTGCACAGTCACCGCCAGCGACGGCGACGGCGCCGCAGACGCATCGAGCGCGACAGTCGTGTGGAAGCGAGAGCTTGCGGCGAGGACGGCGCCAGCGTACTGCGGCTCCAGCACCAAGTAGCCGCCAGCGATCAAGACCTTTCCCGGCGCCGAGACGCGCGTCGTCATCGTCGTCATTGAAATTCAACGTATCCGGACAACTTAAAAACCGGACGCGACAAAGGAGGTTGATCCCAAAAACCCAAAAACCCACTCCAATGGACGTGTGTGAAACCACTGGGATGCCATCACCCCGTTGGAAAAAGAGAGGCAAATTCTCGAGAGCCGCAGTCCAGCTTGCGTGCAAGAAGGAAGCTATACTGAGAGCGAGAGCGGTGGGTGGGGCTTTGGTCGTGGGATTTGGCTGCGTCATGTTATGTGGTGGCGCGATAGCCTCGATAGCTGAGCTACCACTGCGACACGCCAAGGCGAACCTCGCACTGGTGGCAACTAGCTTCTGACTGCATCAACTCGCTGGCTGACGTAACTGTACTGTCGCCGAGGGGTGCTGCATTTGATGCGCGTGGTGGCTCCGTAGAGATGTGCCGTCTGGAAATGGTACAAGTGAGAGATGCGCATGCGTCGAGTGGCGTCCAAACATTTCGCGCTGGCTCCGCAGCTCTCGTTCATACAGGACCATCAAGCATGCTCCTGGAATCTGCCCAGGAGTCTCTGCGTATGATCCAGCTGGAAACAAGTTCTTGTTGTTTCGAAGCCGAGCTGCCGCCATTCGACTTGCTACATTTAGCGCACGCACGCTTTAGACGCAACATGAGTGGGTGTAATTGCGGTAGGATGGTGGCCTTTTTTCCAATTTGCTGCACTCAGCGAGAACTGTCCGTTCACGAGTGACGATATCATTGAGGGCAGTTGCCACAGAGATAGGAGTCCACGGAGCCAGTTGACTGCCAATCATATTCGTGGTACGTAAGCTGATACCAATTCGCATCACGTCGGAACGCCACTAGCCACCAGCGACAAAGGCCAATCCCATTGGTTTCAAGTGAGCAAATTGAACGACGTGGCGTTCGCATGACCATCTTGCGGCTTGTACTCATCAAGTCCAGAACCACGTCATGTTCCACGGCTTATTGCGAGTCTCGCGGCTGTTAATGTAGGTAGAATCGTTGAAACCACTGCATCATGCATGATGCTTGGTTGATCATCATCCGTCCTTTGCTGGGGCAAAATCCGTCCCCAACTCGCTTGGGATAAACGCTTGGGACAAAAGCTGTGTTGGATGGTTTCTGCCATTGGATTGGTTAAAAAACTACAAACCAAACAGCGTGTTTCGCGTGCGACGTTCATGGATTGGCTACATTTTTAAAATGTATTGATTCGCTATAATCCAGACAGAAACCGCATTTGATTGGACGTATATTTTTTCGCGGTTAAATTGGACCAACCCAGCAGCGCCAAGCACGATGGCAGGCCGGTCAGGGAAGCGCAAGGCCATGGTCGACGACTCGGACTCGGACGATCCTCGTAATATGGCCCGCTACGACTCGGGCAGCGAGGAAGAGGCCGCTCCCGTGGCCGCCAAGTCCTCTGCGGAATGGGAGGCCATCGTCAACGCCGAGGTCAACGAGACGCTTCCGGCCGCGCTCCAAATGTGCGTGTCCAACACCAAGAAGCAGCGCCAGGACCTCCTAAAACGCGTGCTCGAAGGCGCCAAGGCCACGGAGAACCTTGTCGCGACGGTCAAGGACATTGGCGACGACAACCAGATCGAAGTCCTGAAGGGCGTCACGACCAACTTTGTCCAGCTCCACGGGCGCATTAGCGCCTACGAGAAAAAACTCGAAGGCCTCAGCACGGCGCTGCAGTCAGGGCGCGTTCCATCGACGTACCGCGGGACGCTGAACGTGTCATCGTCACGCGTCTCGGACTCTCAAGTCGCGCAGCACGACTTTTACAAGCGCTTTTGCAGTGCGGCCGGGGTATACCAAGCCCCTACGCTAGCAAGCATCATAAGCCGCCTCTCCTTGTAGATTGAAGAGGAAGGCGACGACGACGACGTAGATGTGCTCGTGCAAGAGACCGAGGCAGCCAACACCATCACGTGCCCGATCACGCTGTTGGAGATGGTCGAGCCCATGCGCAAGTCCGTTTTCAAAGTTGCTACGTCAAGGTATACTGACGTCTCGTCCTCGATAGCAAGCGCTGCGGCCACACGTACTCGAAGGCTGGTATCACGGCCCACCTCAAGCGAAAGAACGCGTGCCCCATTGGCGGTACGCTGCGTCTACTTGTGATCCATGTACGATGGCTGCTCGTAGGCTGTCGCGAAAAGGTTAATGGTCTCCACGACCTCGAGCGCGACGTCGAAATGGAAGTCCGCATTGCAAGGTACAGCTGCGTACATAGACGTCCGAACCCTAAGGCGTGTGCTATAGCAACCGCCGCGCGCAGGCGACGCAGCAACTCAACAGCACGAACGCCGCCATCGACATGGACGACGACGAGGACGACGACGAGATCCTGGAACACAACGTCGAATAAGACCGTCTTTAATCCATCCCTTCACAGCAGCACTGGATCGCCGCAGCTGCGATCCCATCCCATGCTTCTTCTTGCTCATTTGCGGTGGTACTGGACGGATACTTGGACGATGGACCAGTGTACGGTGCCAGTAGTATGCGGCGGCATCTCGCGCCGAAACAACTGGCCATGACGCAGGCGCTGGCGTCCCACGCCCACATCTATTTGGTGCAAAAAAATGATAGGACGAGTTCACGTCGCAAGGTGCCGGCTACGATGGCAGTCCCACTCTTCCGCTTTCCGAGATGTCGTGCAGCATTTCTGAATTGGACCGCCACCGAGCAAGCCTCTACCACCACACTACAAGTATGGCCTCGACCTCGACGACCGCGACGACAACCTGCTTCTTCAACGACTGCAAGAACCCCGTGCTCCCTGGCTCGTGGAAGTGTGCGTACCACCGCCGCCGCGCCCGCTGCCTCGTGCAAGAGTGCACCAACCAAGTGCACGCGCGCAACCTCTGCGTGCGTCACGGCGGCCAAAAGACGTGCCAGTTTGAGGGCTGCTGCATGAACGCGCGCATCCGCGGCTTCTGCTACAAGCACGGCGGCAAGGACAACCGCCGCCGGTGCGCCGTCGACGGCTGCACGCGCAACGCCGCGTACGACCACAAGTGCATCGCCCACGGCGGCGGCCGGCGCTGCACGACCGAAGGCTGCTCGGCGCACGTGCGCAAGCAAGGGCTCTGCGGCCGCCACTACCGCCAAACGATGGGCGACGTCGACGCCAAGACAGTGCTCCTCTCGCCGTGCTCGGCGACGTCGACCGCGTCCTTCCTCGATGCGCTCTTCCAGGACCTCATCGAGGACGAAGCCAAGGAGGCGAGTTCGATCAAGACCGAGCCCCTCTCGCCGCAGCAATATGCGTGGCCGGCGGTGCTGTGGACGGACGAGTGGCTCAAGGCCGGCGACTGCTGAGAAGAAGAAGCTGTAGCATTAGTACATGGAGTTGCATCGTCACGTCTAGTTTATTTACCCTGAAGCAGGTTCATTCCGATTCAACGCTCGTGGACTTCCTCTTTTCTTTGCTGCCACATTTCGTCAGCCACCCACGATGACGGGTGCTGTCGACTCCACGCCTATTCATCGGTGGTGGGACGCTGATGCAAGTCGCATCGCGCCTTGTGCATCGGCGTCTCGGGCTCTCGCTGCGTCATCGTACGTCCAACACGTTCGAATGCCCGAGATGGCTCCGTTGCGCATGAGGCCAGCCAAAGTCGGTCCGTGCGATGGGATCACCGCCGTCGGACCCAAGCATTCGCGAATTCAAGTACCCGCGCACTTTCGTACGACGTTTTCATTGGATAGGCAGGTGAGTATTGTCTTGGATAAGGGAATACAGGCTTGCGTTGCTGGGATTGGATACTCTCTCGAAACGGATCTTTTGACACGTGGGACTGGAAGGTGGGACGTGGTCGAGAAACCTCTGGCAATGCATACTGGAGTGCATGGACCTTGGGAGGGCGTGGCCTTTCCTGAAGTAGTACGCGGTCGACCTTGAAGTTGCGCGCCGTTCTTCCTTGGCCCGTGGCATGGAAACTGCACGCGAGAGGTGTCTTTCCAATGACGACTTTGAAGCACGTGGCGCCCACTTGGGTTCGGCCTGCGACTTGGCGAGGATTTCGCTGCTGGCACATCGCTTTGCCTGCGCCTTTCTCGCCTGTTTGGGTGTACCTGCCAATCAACCAACCGCCCACGGCACGTATATATCTACTCCCACATACATTGTACCAACGAGTACTAGGCTACGAGTACTGTAGTGCGTTCAAGTACAGTGGGTTCGACCCTTGCGCACGACGGAACGTGCGTGCTGACGCGGCCTAGTTACTGCGCCCGCATGGGTCGAATGATCTGCTTCAGGAATCCATGCTACCGCGCCCTTTCATTGCGCATCCTTTTGCTTTGCAAACCCACCCGTTCTTCCATGCGCGACACTCATCGCGTCATGCTGGAGCACCAATGCAAAGCTATTAGGCGCATGGACGCCGGATCCAGCCAGCTTGGTAAGACGGACTCTGACTCTGGCCGTGCATGAAGGTCTTGCAAGCCAATGACATTGCCGGTATCCACTGCAAAATGGATGATGTCGTCGCCCCCACCGTGAGACTAGAGAGGTGACTGCAACTCCTGATTAGCTCGGCCCATCGCGGGAACTTTGCCCCACACATCCACCAAGAAGCTGCGAGTACCCTTTATCGTCTTGGCACACTGCACTGTGTACATGCACCATATAACTGTATCGAAGTATTAAACCTTCGTCCATGGACGATGTGAAGAATGCCGAGTTTGCCCTTGGACGAGTCGAGACTGTGCGTCCCAGCGGCGTCACGACGCGTCATCCCATGTATTAGTGGACGGCATCATATCATATCGATCAAAATCACACATACCTCAACTCGATGCACGCAAGAGCTTGCGTGCAGCAGAGATGCTTGCCCGCAGCAGTTCATAATGATTTTCGGACACCTGACAACGTCTGAGAGAAGTAGCCTTTCGTTCACCTTTCAAACATGCATCGAACATGGATGCTGCATCAAAAAACGACGTGTTGATAGGCACTGCCATTACGATATGCAGCGGAGAAGCCGTATGAAGGTTGATCGCTACTACTTTCCAAACACCTGAAGTTTTGCAACACCGTTGTGGAAGTGGACTCTACCTCGTTGTGGAAGTGCGTCGATTGAGATCGGATTTGCACTGCATGATTTGTTTGTTCATGGTGGTGGTTTCTCCACAAAGCGTGATTGTCTGCGGTGAGGGTCGGCCATCGTGAAGATCGAAACGAAGTACCGGAAATGTAGCTGTCGTAATGCCTAGAGCTCATCTTCTCACACAGAATGCGCATGTTCTATAAAGGGTTGAGAAGATGATGATAACGCAGGGTAGCCGGCGGCCGACTCAAACCTTACGACAGGCGCCATCAAGCGAAAGACGGAGTCGCTTCTCCCAATCCAGACGTTATGGAGGCTGCTAGGGACTGGCACACACGCCTCGCGACTGCACGATGGTATCGGTCTTAATAGCCGAGGTCTTCGTTGTCGCCGTCCGTGAGCTTGCGCTTTGGGAATCAGTTGGACGCCAGCGAGAGCTTGTACGTGTTGCACTCGCCGCGGAAGAGCGAACTCTTGATCAGCCAGTTCTTATTCTTGTGCCAACCATTCCTACGGGTCCGTGGGCGAAGTGATGCCACCGGAACTAAGAGCGTGCGAGCATCACTAGCATTTTATATGAATATATATATGAACGTGTTTCGCGTTATCTTCATAATTACACAAAGACCCCGCATACGTAGAGACTAGCCATCTCCTTCTTCATTCGCTCGCCGGTCCGTGGCTGCGCAGGCGGCGGCGCGGGGGCTCGTCTGCCGTCGCCCTACAACGCTTGTGGGGGTGAGGCACTGGACGACAGGGTCGGTAAAATCTTTCCAGGCGTCGCGGTCGGCGGCAAAGCTACGCAGTTTGTCAAGGTCGTCGGGAGTCGCCAGCGACTGAGGCGGCGTCAGCGACTGGAGGTCGCGGTGCAGGACGATCGGCAGCGTGATCTTGGTGCGCCCTAAGAAACGGGGTGCCTCGGGTGGGGCAAAGAAGCAACTTGAACAAAAAATTCAAGTGAGTGGCGTTGCAAATTTTGCTCAGCTCGAGAGCCGCTGGAGCAGTCCGCAATTGTGCGAACGGTGGTTGTGCCTCGAGATCAGCATAGGCGGGGCAGAGGGATGGGTCTTCTCACCAAAAAGTCGACGTACTAGCGCGAGCGTACGTATGCTTTCTGTCAGCACTTAATGACTACTCCACTACTGTGGGGGAACGCGTGACCACCCTGGACGCGAACAGCGCGCCGGGCTGCCTTTGTTGTTCGTGGGCTTTGCAGGCACTAGTGCTGTCCGACAGAGTAAACGGATAAAATTAAATTCTAGTGGATTTTGGATGAAATTCTAGCGGATTCTATTCCTATTGAAATTCTAGTGGATTTCACTAATTCCTACCGACCAAGTAAGATTTACGGAAGCGTATTAAAATCACAAAATCATGGCCAAATCAAAAAAATATGGCGTTTAATATTAATACATGGCACGATATGGAATTTTGCACCGCAGCGAGCGACGACAGAGCATCGGCCCAGAAAAGTCTGCCCACCGCAGCGCAGCGGAGGTTGGGTGTTGACTTTTGTGCAGGCCGTGCCTTGGCGAGGAGCGAGCCCACGTCTTTCACGTAAAAAGGGCTTTATTGTAGATGGGCCGCTCAGGTGGAGGCGGGTAGGCCCGCAGGGCCGCGGCGACCCTGGGGCGTAATTTTAAAATCCCCAACATTTACATTTTTATCGCTTGGATGATATATTTCCATATCTTGCACTTATTACACTAGATGTGCTAATTCCTGGCAGCGCGTAATAATTAGTGAAATCCACTAGAATTTCAATAGGAATAGAATCCGCTAGAATTTCATCCAAAATCCACTAGAATTTAATTGTCACCCCAGAGTAAAGCCGCGGCATTGCGTCGTACCTTCGATCCATACGCTCGTTCTGGCAGCCGCCTAGTAAGAACGCCCAACCAGGCAGGCGGTGTGGCTAAACCCTGACGCGTGTACCATTATTTGGCTCGCCATCAACG